TCAATTCAAGCCAGATGATGGTGACCAGGCAAGACGTCACCGCTAGAGGCATGAAAGTAGATTCAATTAAAATTGTAGTGTCGAGCTTTGGACATTTTTGGATGGTGATTCATAATGTCATAGAGCTTGACCAATTTGATGAAGCAAAGAAGTTGACACAACATCTATTGCAACAGGTGATTGGCATGGACGCTTGCAGTGGCGCTGGGTGCAGTTGGAGCTGCAAGAATATTTTGGGCTGTTCTGAGAGCCCCAAGATGATGGGATGTGATAGAATGGCACCACCCTTCAACAAGTGCCGCTCGGGTTTGCACGGAGCATGATGCCCATGGCGTGCCCGGTACTCAAACCCATTCCAACCAAGATCACTACCATAAGTACTCACCCTGCATTTTGGGTGTCCAATGCATGATTTGTAGGGTACTCATTGGTATTCAGTAATGTTGGATCCTGATTAGTAAAGGGGGGTCCCCCCCCCCCTCAAACAAACAGGGGGACATCTATAATAAACTATCACCAAAACAAATCTGGATTCCTGGTGAGGGATCTTTTGCAATTGATTGTAGTATTCATTTTCCTTTCATAGATTGTATTCAGCTTCCTTTCTCAGGTGCTTTGTAATTGTTCTCAGCAATCCTTTTGCTTTGCAGCCTCAGATCTTCAGCTCAAGAGAAGCCCCAAGCTTTCATTGGCCTCAGGAGCTAAGTAAAGGGAGATTCCATGTGCATTTTTCCCAGTGGAAAAAAACTTTTCACAATAGAGGTCCCAAAAACAAATTTATTATTGAGGATCAGGTGCCTTCCTGGTCGACTACCTTGAAAATTTGTTTAGGAGCAATGTTTTATAAAGGGTTTAATTGGGGAACTGGTGGTTTTGGTCAGCTGTCAGTTTTGTAGAAGCCTAGAGAAAGCTATATCAGCTAATGAATCATAATCATTGGCCTCAGGAGCTAAGTAAAGGGAGATTCCACGTGCATTTTTTCCAGTGGAAAAAATTTTTCACAATAGAGGTCCCAAA